TACTACTTAAAAAATGCATACTTTCAGCAAAAGAGCTTCCAAACCGCAAACAACTTCTGTGGGTTTGTCATATTAATTCCATTCGAGGGAAGTGATTCGGGCCAGTTCTTTTGAACGGCACCGGGTCCAGAGGAATGGGAGTGTGGTAGCAGTGCAGCACACTCCCATAAAATATTAGAGAAAACATCCATTTTCATGTAAGCCGACCGAGTAGCAGACTCAGCTGCAGCAGATGCAGTGCAATGAGATTTACTTTTACTCAGCTCCAGAAGGGCAACCACGCCAAAAACCGACGTCAGCGTTGTATGTCTCGTTTTTTGTTTTAATAATTATTACACTTACTCGCTTTACCCTACGTACCCTTTAATTTTAAGCTCTGCTGAGAAACCTCCATTATTTATAAGCATATATGAGCAACAGCTGCCCATTAAAAAAATAATAACACTGGTTGTATGTTATTCCTTTGGCTTAGAAAATGCATAGCTGTTGAAAAATGCTCCCCCCCTTTCTAAAATGAGTAAAAAAACAAAAGTGCACCCACAGGACTATTGTACTGGGTGTGCTTTCCTATAGCACTGGTTGCCAAAAGTGGGCTCCTCGTTTTATTACAACTTTGTACTCATGTGGAAAACTAGAGGGGAAATGATTACCGAGGCTACCCCCCCCCCCTCACTGCTTAAGAGCCAAACATCTTTCTTTCAGCAACATAGTTTTTCATATTGAACTGTGGAAAAACACACACACACACATGCCAGAATTCACAAAAGGGGGGGGAAGAGTTAAAACTGTAATCTCTTCTGCAGATCTGTAGTAAATACTGTACTAAATAGCTCTGGAAGTACTATTGAAAGGCTGGAACACTGTACCACTGTAAGGCAAGGGGGTTGTGGAAATGCCTTTGTTTGTTTTACATGCCGTGATGTGCTTAAAAACTTATGAAACATTCTTAAAAATTTAAATATTTAGAATAATTGCAGGAGGGCACACTGATTTTTTTAACATATAAAGTACAATGGTGTTAAAGCCGTAAATGTTACGATTCTCCTTAATTTCCATATCTCTGCACCATAAGACCAATGTTGGGCATCTCAGGTCCAGAAAGTACAAATCCAAGACAAAGATTTTGTTTCTACCAACTAGTAGAGCATAAAGAGTCACAGTCACAGAGTAGTCACCTGGTTGATAGAAACAAAGTCTGGATTTGTAGCTTCTGGATCTGAAATGCCCAACGGTGGTTAAGGCATGCCCCTGGGTTGTATCACTGTCTCAGATCACCACGGTCCTGGGGTTTCACTGTATGTTTCTCTCTGCATTTATGCAGGTTTTAATCCTGGATCCATAGATCTTCCTAAGATATCTAGCCTAATTGTACACAAAGCTTTTACATCTTTCTGGGTTGTGTTGATCATTTTTGCAGCTCTTCCCACATTCACGTGGTCACGCCTGTACAAATAGATCCTGGAAAAAAGAAACCGTATTGACCTTGTAGGCTGAGACCTTAATGTCCCGACCATATTAAACAAGAACAAAAAGCTTTGGCTTGGAATATCTGCTAACTTGTTCCAACCCATTTCAAAGCCTTAGCCAAATGAATACCAGAATAAAATGTTAACCTTTTGATTTAATACCGTACAGTGTCCTGCGGATGAAAAGACGAAAACAATAGATACATTCTTATCCAGTTTCCCAGCAACTGTGTACATTTTTTCAAATGAAGCTCATTGCCTGTTGTACTTGGATGATTTTTGTTGTTTTGTTTTATAGCGATTTATGTAATACTGCACGGGGGCAAAAGGTTACATTGTCTTGGACATATTAGAAAATGAGTTTATTTACAAAACAAATGAAGCCCTCATGAGTAAAGTAGCTGTTGCAGTCGATGGAATGTTAGATGTTAATGATGGTGACGGTATAAAACATTCTAACTCCTAGACAACTTAACTCCCTAAAAAAGAAAACTTAAATTAAGATAAAAAGTATAAACTTAGATCTTTGATGGAGTCCCAAAAGTTTACATGTACTGGCAGCCTTGATAATTATGCATGGAATTATTAGTAGGAAGAATCCTTGGAGTCTTCTGGCATCTTGACCACAGAGTGGTTTGAAGATGTAGGTTTTCCAACTTTTATTTTTGAATGGAATGGATCCCCCACATCTGAGAGTTTCTGAAGAGCCAAGGCTGAAACGGGACTCAGTTTCAGAGGATTTTAAATTGGAGACACTCAGATGTCCTAGTAACGCACATTGTCCTGGGGGACCGTGAAAGTCCGTGGACTTTGCTGAATTTCTACAAATGCGACGGTCCTGTACGGCAGCAACTAGACCTCAGCCAAAACACTTAGGCCTAATGAGAGTAAATGTTCAACATCTACAGCAATTACAGGTTATGTTCAGCTTCTTCTGTTCTTTGTGTGGACTTCTGCGAATGCAGAAGTCACTCATCTTCATATGTAGCTCCTAGGGCTCATCAAGTACCCCTTTCCTTCTAATATGTCAGTGGTTCTCAGTCCTGTTCCTTTCACCCCCCCTCCCAGAATGTTTTCATTCCAACCCTACCTTAATCAGGCTCATATGGTCCTTAATAGGCTAATAATGAATGTGGAGGGTTGAAAGCAGTGTGCGTTGGAATGAACACAATCTACCCGGTAGAATTGCTATACTATATGTTGCTTTGGATGAAAGGTTGGAAAAATTAATGCAAGTACAACCCCTGACAAAAATTATGGTATCACCACACTTCAGGATGTTCACCCAACTTTTTACTTTGTAAAAAAAATAAAATAATATATATGACACGTAACATTTTTTGTTTAATAGCTGAAGATTCTGGCTGCATGAAACATACCATAGAACAAATTAAATTAAGTTATTTTAATTAATGGCATTGTTTTGTCCAGGTCAAGTAGAGGACAAAATTATGGAATCACTGAATGCTGAGGAAAAAAATTATGGAATCATCAACTAAAAAAACTCACAGTAAGTACGTTGTTGCTTCTCCTTGGGCTTGTATGATGGCCTGAATTCTTTGAAGCATGGACTTTAACGAAAAACAAGATTCCACATCAAGTTAGTTCCAGCTTTCTCAATTAGCAGTTGAAAGATCAGTTTTGCGGGATGGAGCCTTTTCATGGACCATTGGAAAAAAAAAATTCCACCGGAAACATGCAATCATATTGAGATCTAGACGGTTTGCTGGCCATGTATGTGATTGAGTTAATATGCCTTTTACTGAAGAAAAGCTTCCACACTCTTTACACTGTAGCAACATGCATTATCATCTTGAAAATGACTTAATCATCACCAAAACAATTTTCTATGAATGTAATAAGAAAAGTGTCCTAAATGTCAATATACACCTGTGATTGGGGAAATTTGCTTTATCCTTTATATATTTTATTAGAATGGCACTAGACAAAAGTTCCAGCATCATCTCCTTAGCCAATGCAGATTTGTGATTCATCAATATCACTTTCATCCAAACATCCACAGTCCATGATTGCTTCTGTTTAACTCACCTTCTTCAGTGTAGGTATTAGTGCTGGTTGTCATTTTGCCTTTTCTACATGTAAACTCCATTTCAATCAGGCAATTTCTTACAGTTCTGTCACAAACATTGACTCCTGATTCTGTCTATTTGTTACTCATTTGTTTTGTTGTGCATTTTCTATTTTCAAACCATGTTGCTTTGCATTTTCTATCCTGATGCTCTGATGTCTCCCTTCGTCTGTTTGTGTTTCCCTTTTTTTAAATTTTAGACAGCAGACTGGGAACAGCCAACATCTTTCACCACACTCCACTTTGGATTTCCTTCTTGAAGGAGTTTTATAATCCTTTCCATTGTTTCAATTAACACAGCTTGTTAAGGTCTGTAAGTCCTCTCTAACGGCAGACTAATTCGCATTTTTTGACTTGATTTAGAAATGCAAAATTACAAGGTGATTCCATAATTTTTTTCTCTACTTGATCCGGACAAAACTGCCATTAAAATAATTTCATTTGTTTGAGACACGTCTCACGAAGGCAGAATGTTCAGCCAGTCATCTGTGATTTATTTGCTATGAAGTGAAACAGCTGAGTGAACATCCTCTACGTCTGCTGGTGTATAATGCATGGATTATAGCATCTATGGTCTAAATCAGGGCTGTCAAACTCACATTTTTCAGTTTCCCCTCATTTAACACACCTGATTCAACTCCTCATGCTAATTACCACACAGCTCTTGAGCTGAATCATTTGTGGTGGAACAGGGACAGAACTAAGCTACACAGAGCTCCGGCCCTCCAGGACTGGAGTTTGACACCCCTGATCTAAATATATTGTACCAGATTATTGTTTCTAATATGCTGGATTCTTCATAGACATAACAAATGCACTTGACCAGCATATCAGTTTGGAGGCTTATGACGTGAGGGTGGATTCTTAAGGTGGACCAGAAGGGATCTGGCAGATGGGAATGCCGGTGCTGTATGTCAGAATGGGCTGTGGTTATCATCAGGGGCGAGTCCCGGGGCCTGCCACTTCGTAATGACGTCTGCAGAGATCATGGGTTCAGATGTGGCAGGACTCTGGCAAAGATGAGACACGTCTCTTTGCTGGCTGGTGCTCAGTTACCCCACACGTGCTTAAGACATTCACAGGTGATCATCTTTCATATACATTAAGAAACGGGGATTAGTTTAGTTACAGGATTAAATAAGTACCAGATACTCAATGCAGAGAACAAGCAAAAGAAAACTCTCTCTCTCTTTGCTGAGACTTTCAAACCTTATACCAAATGAAACAGCTTCATAATATGATACTTCAGCAGTAGATAATTTAAATCGCATGCATATCTCCAGTTTTATTCAGAAAGTTTTGGCATACTTACGTACGTTTCATGCTGATGAGTTTAACACATGCAGTTATTGTGAGAAACCTAGGTTATTAATACTGTCCCGGCCATTCCAATGTGAAATGTGCTGCACAGAAAAATAAGCACAAAAAACAACATCACAAAGAGATGAGGTACGGGGATTTAATTTATTAAGATGCTACATAGTTCAACAAGCTTTTTGTTGGTTTTTTTTCCTCACCAGTGACTACTTGACTACGAATATTAATGCTTTGATAGACATATTTATTTATGTACATACAAAACAATTGCCATGGTTACATCATGGTGATGGTCTCAAACTCCAGTACAGGCTTGTGTAGTGTCTGAGGCCCCAGGAGCGGCCAGGGCTCCACAGCGCCATCTTCCTGCAACATCTCACCCTCTAGTCACTTCTCATGTTAATGGATTATGTGTTAAATTCCATAGTTTTTTTGTCCTCTCCCCCTCCATCACTCATTTGTAGTTTTAAGTGTTTTTTTATCATAATATGTAACATTGAGGTGGAATAATTTAGGTGCCTTCCTTTTAAATACACCAGAACAATGAAAAACAAAACAAAACAAAACAAAAAAAAACAAACGTGAAAATGAAAATCGAATATACAAACAGAATGGTCCCTGTACTGACTCCCCCCACCCCCACCCCAAGTGTTTCTGCTGATTTCTTGAACATGGGAACACTGCGTGATCCAAGCGCTGGTTATAGCAGAGCTGTATTTTTATGTAGAATATTCAAACTTTACTAGCAGCACAATGATTCCCGAAATGAGACATGAACATGACATTTTACTGTCTGATTAATGATGTCATAGCTTAAAACGTTCAGAGAGCGATACAGACGCGCTGCGTGGTTTCTTCTACGCGTCCATCCATCCATCCTAGTGAGGGTCATGAATCAGGACAGAGTACAAAGCTGAGGAAAACCCAGGATGGGTGCCAGTCCATCACAGGAAAATTTCTTTTGACTGTTCACTAACCCCTGATAAATGTTACTCCCTTGTAACAGTGTTATCTTAGGCAGGCAAATCGCTGTTTTTAATTACACCTGAAACAACACGCAGCTCTGGTGTGTTTTTCACAGCAACTGTGGCAGAGCCTTTTCCGAGGACTGCCAAGCGCCATAAGACTACACATCAAAACCAAATAAACCGGAGCCTTTTCCAATAATTTTTTTCTACAGATTGCGCAAGCTGTGAAATACTGATGCACAACCTTTCGTGATAATCCTTTCATATTTTCAGCAATTAGAATGAAAAGAATTAAAATATTTTGCCAGACACGGGTCGCGAAGGCTTATTTCTTGCAAGCGCTAATTTAAGGTAAGCCTACAGTGCTGTACTAGGTCATAAGCGACGTCACACATAAAAACAAACAAAGAAGGTAAAAACTAACGATACCGTAGAGATAACCGTGCAGCCATGCGCAGTTCTAAAGGTGACAAAGGAAGCACTGCAATGGCAAAGACGATCAAGAAATTATAAAATAAAATGACATCATTTTCCGTAGCGTAACGCTAGTACTCGTTTTGTGGAAGAAATACTTGCATGGGAAGAGATAGTTACAAAACAAGAACATCCAAACACTGTTGCTTACCACACACGGAAAATGTATAAATCATCCGACTGGAAGAGCCAGTGGTGAGAATACTCACTTCCGCCTATAAGCCCCACCTCTGTCGACTCTGCGCGACTTTCTTTCAAAAATTGCTTTTCTGTATCTCAGAGGAAAATGTCACGTTACGCACTTCTTGTAAGGGGCTGATTCGGCCTCCTCACCTTAAAATATAACATACTAAAGAGACATTCACAAAAAGACATCTGAACATCTGGAACAGAATTCACTCACATTGCATCTCGGGCGTTACGGGGGAAAAAAGTCTCACATAGACTTCATATTTCATAATTTATTATTATTTTATCTTATCACAATGTTCGCTCCCCTTGAGATGTTATCTGTGCGAGAAGGGGAAGGGGACAATGAGAATGTGATTAAGAGGCAAGACCTGTGACTTGAATCCCTTTCCCATAATGTGATCAATTTTACTCTCGTTATTTTACATAATTAGAACAGTGCCAGAGATATGGCATTCTGATGGAAATTCCACATCTGTTTTTTTTTTTTTGTTGTCGGTTTCATCCACAAAGCATGCTGCCTCCTGCCAAGGGCACCTACAAGAGCAGTTTCCCAACGACCACACCGATGACAAAGAAGAGCACGACCAGCGCCAGCACCCGGACGCTGAGGCCCTCCTCCTTCAGCATGGCTCTGGGAGCAGAGGAGGAAGAGGAGGTGGAGGAGGAAGAGTGCATCATCGTGCTCTTCCTCATCCGCAAACCATCATCGTCCTGTAGAAGTCATTGGGAAGTACTGTTAGAAGGATGCTCTTCCTCGCAGGGTCCTAACAGGAACTCTCAGACAACTCAATGGAAACACCTGTGACACCTGTCAACATCCTACCAGTAAGAGGACCTCAGGCCAAAGAGAAGACCAAGGTGCGATTCGTCTTGGCTGGAATCGGAGTCTCTTACCCTGATCTGTTTGTTTTCTTCCCGTAGCCGCTGAACTTCCAACTGCAGCCGTTTGCACTCCTCCATGATTCTCTTCACCTCCCCGTCATCCAGGCACGAGCTCAACGACTTCATGGACAATGTCGAGGAGTCGGACTTCAGCAGGCTGGAGGACAGAATCTTGTTGGAGTCCATGTCGTGCTGCTTGGACACAGGAGGGGAGGGAAGCATTGGCTTTGGGTCTGAAGCTTTGGCTGTGGCCCCCTCTACTCAACCTACCACTGCTTGCATAGAGGAAGACCGCTTCGCTTCAATAAAACCAGAATCTTGGGTTCTATTCTATTATAACACTCCAAAACTACCCAACCATTTATATTATTTTTATCCAAACCAATGTACAATTGAGAATGCAGGATCAGCCAGTCCATGGAGCAATTGGGAATTAAGGGCCTTGCTCAGGCACCCAACAGTGGCATCACTCTGCTGTCCGTGAGATATGAACCGGCGCTCTGAGCACAGGGGGAGGGTCCCAACCCGCTGGAGCCACAGACCGCCGCCCATTCCACATCGAATAACTGCCGACAGCCAGATTTATCTTATTTTGTCATTTAATCACCAATTAGAGATGTTACACAAGCAGAGCATTTCAAAGTATTAATAATATCAAAACAAAGTCTAAACAGGGTCCTGGACAGTGCCGGCCAGGCTTGGCCCTGGCATTTGGATGACTCACACACTGTCCCGCTGACAGGCCAGCGAGGATTCTTCCAGAACCATCCACAGTCTTACAGCGAAAATGAGCGACAGGCTAAATGAGGCTCTGAAATCTGCCGTGAGTGGGACTGTTACACACTGTCAAATCAACAATTGACTTAACCCACTTCCCACTGGTTACTGCACTGGGTGGCACCAAGTTAAACCAAGCACGGTTTGTCCCACCCGTGGCAGGATTCCAAAGTCCCTTTTCTCTCACGGCCGGGGAGCTGGAGAAGGGGCAGGCTCACCATTTTCTCGTTCTCTGCGGGCAGCTCGAAAACACACCTCAGCTTGGAGTCCATCAACTCCTCGGGCTTTGCTTCTTTCCACTACAAGGAAAGGTCAGAAGTGTGATGAGGAAAGGAAATACCATGGCCTTTACTGCATTTCTTCTTGGTCCTCATGTGTCCCAGCTGCCTTCAGCACACCCAGAAGATCAGTCAACTGTACAATTCAATTTCTACAAACCAGGCTGTGCTGTGCAGTGAAAATCTGATTCTATGGTGACAAAAAAACAGATCTGTACCCATCCAAAGCTCTATTCATAAGAGCCACCTGGGAGACATCAGCATGGGAGTAGTTAATTACAGTGGCATACGTTGACCAATGAACTGTGACAGATATTAAATCCATGGCCTCATCGAATCCAAGCCGTCTGCTTTTGTGAAACTTTGATGTGTTCAGTTTCACAGTACTTTTGGTAAGTCACCTCCCGCTGATATCCAAAGAACATAGCAGAAGTGCCATTTAAAATAAATACTGTGTCAGAGTTAACAAAACATTGGTTAGTACAATAAATGTCAAAGATTACCCGCACTTCTAGTTACATTTTTATGGATATTTTTGATCGTATTCAAACTACACTTACAATCCAAGAGTTATTCTGGAGACGTGGTGGAAAAGCCTGGAATTGAAACTGTAATTTCCCATCATTACTAACTGGCAATAGATGCCTTTTTTATGGTACATATTTAAGAGGCTACTCAATTGCTAGAAACAGTAGAAACATTAGACGGTTGACTGATCCAAGACAGCATTTGCTAGCTATTGTGTTCGACAGCAAAATCTTGGTTACGATGTCTGTGCAGAGGCGGACATTTCAGGTCCAGAAAGTAAAAATCCAAACCAGGATTTTGTTTCAACCAACCAGTTGAGCATAAAGAGTCACAGTCACAGTGTACTCAACTGGTTGGTTGAAACAAAATCCTGGTTTGGATTTTTTACTTTCTGGACCATGGTGACAAAGGGGAGAGTTTTAAACCTTCAAAGCACTCTGTTAAGATAAATGAAGAAAAGATGTTTGCCTAGCTATTTGTAATGCAGGGGGAATCTGCACATTTGTAATATCTGACTCCGATTCCCAAAAGAGGTCTTGATAGTTACAGTACCAGGCAAAAGTCTGGACACCTGCTTTTAATGCATTTATCTCTATTTTAGCTGTTATTCACCTCATAGTATAAGGCCTCGAGGCAATGAAGTAATACCTATCAAAAACTACAGCAACCAAGAGAATTGTTCAACATCTCAAAATTTTCTCAAATTTAGAGTCTTCAAAGCAGCCCCCTTTCGCCTCGATGACAGCATTGCAGACTCTGGGCATTCTTTCAACCAACTTCCAGATGTAGCCACCTTGGATGTTTCTCCAACAGTTGAAAGTGTTTCCACAAGTCCTGGGTACAAGTTGGCCAAACTTGCTCTTTACTCCTCGATCCAGCTCATCCCAAACCAGCTTTGTAGGGTTTAAGCTGGGGGAGGGGGGTTGTGGGGGCCAGGTCTCTGTTGCAGCACTGCATCCGTTTCCTTGTTCACACGATAATTCAGTACTTGCATAACATCTAGATGGGCTTAGGGTCATTATCTTGTTGAAAAACAAATGATTTTCAGTAGGTGTGTCCAGACTTTAGACTGGTGCTGCATATGAGAGAAGATCAAATCGGGTTGGGGGTCAAAAAGGAAAGTAAAAAACTCGCAAAGTAAACTCACCAGTCCTTCCATGTCGGTCATGTCTGGAGGTGCCAGCAGTGACTGCACCATGAACTTGTGTTTGCTTTTCTCATTGGGGTCGTAGTCAAAGGGCTGGAGCATGACTGAGAAGAAAGACAAGATGGCCACATGGAACACTTTGTCCAATCCCCTTTCCCCGCCACGCGCATCTTCGTGCCGAGCTCACCGACACCTGCCCCGTCAGGAGCTTCCAGGCCTCCTCAAACATCTCCATTTCATTCTACGACTACTCTTCATTTGTTCGCACTCTCTCAGTGAGCGGCACGGCTGGTGTCCTGCCTCACGGTCAAATATGAAATATGGCAGAGACTGCTGCATCACAAAACAATGCAGGTAAAATAAAATAAATTAAATGTGTTCTGTAAAGAGGTTGTCAATTCACAAAGAGAACATATTTGTTAGACAGTTGAACCATAATTTTTCATTGAAATTCATAAGGCAAGTTACATTCTGAGAACTGGTGATCTTTGAAGTCAAGATAAATAAAGAAAAGTCTGGCTAATTTATATGGATTTATATTTTCTTAAGGGTACATACATTTAAACGCAAATATAGCACTGAGTAAAAGAACAGTATTCAATCAAATTTCATTTCTGGTGTGGTAAAGTGTTCACGTTTCATAATTTTTTTTTAAACTAGCATAAGAATGTTATAGTAATATTACTATACAGAATTATTTAAGTCTATAAATACGCACATGCCGTCCCGCCAAATGTTATCGCTTTGTAAACTGGCTAAACCACAAGCCAAGTCTGATCTATTTCCAGTTGGCACATCTTTGCATCATAGGAATTAATTCAGCATGTGTCATGGATCGAATGTGCTGGACAGAAAGCTGGGCTTGGTGATGCATCTGCAGTAAGAAAGAAAACGACAACACATTGTTTTGTTTTACTGCTTGTAGTTATACCATGTCAGACTGTTATAAATAAATATATGTACCTTTCTAAAATGTAATAGTAAAAACAGTCCCACTGCAATTATTGCACAAATGTACATTGTTTTTCCAGTCCACAGAACTATTTCTCATATTCTGCCATGAAAAGAGAGTTCTATTCATCTCTCAAACATCCTTTTGAAAATATTTCTTTTGTATTTTTATTTCATGTCACATCTACTTATAATGGAGCAGTCTACTCTGGGAATCATGTGCATTGTGCGTCTGTAACTCTACCCAACCACAAGCCGCCATCATGTCCATGTCAACAATTTCTCTGAACAAGCACTTGCTCTACAGTCAGGCGGCCCTTAAATTGAAATTGCAGAGGCAGAAAGCACTCAAGCGGTATAGAGATGTACTGGATTTATTTGTGCAAAACTACACAGTTTAATTGCCGAAGGCAAGCAGTCTGCCTTGTATCCTGTAATTGTTCGATGGGTTTGGGCTCAAACCTGTTTCCATGAAGCTTGATCGTTTCGTTAACCATAAGTTTCCATAAAGTTTGAGTTAAAAAAAACCAACAACTAAAAACCAAGAGTAACGTAGACACCGTTGTTTGTACGTCAAATCCTCCAAATTACTCTCAAATTAACTTCCAACTGGAAATAACCTGATGAGTGAACAGAAAAGCTTTTATATGTGACATAAGCGTTTATTAGTGACTTTTAAAAAGGTGGATTTCTGCAACGTGTTCAATGTTCCTGCTAACTGAACAAGAAAGGCAAATAAATATAACATGCAAAATGCAGCATCTTTTATGATCTGTGCGGAAAATGTAATTTCGGTTTCCTGAAACAGCGCGGCAGATGTCATATTCCGCACCTAAAACAATATATGTACTGAATGCTAGCCCTCTGCTGTTGTTCAAAAGTGACATTTCCATGCTTAGTTTGGTACTTCTGTGCTTAGTTTGACATCATCTGAGTGCAGCAAATGTTTTAAAATGGTCAAACCATAAATCCAAAGTTAGCTGTTATTACTGATTAAGGATGCGTGATTTATACATTCAATTTTTTAAAACCAACTACAAAATATTGTCAGTTTCACACAATTTTAAACCTTATGCGAAAGGAAACCAAGTGAAACTGAACTACTGAATGTTTTTTTTATACACACATGCCAACTGTAGAAGACATCCATATCAAATTGCAGTTGTTTTATTTTGGCAAGATAATTGCAGTTTTTAAAATGTCTGGAAACCACAACAGCACACAACATCTAGAGTTTCTTAAAAATCCTCTGAGAGCATTGTGCATAAAAGCACAAAACTCTGCTCCCACAGATTTCCAATTCAAATACGAAACCAAGCATCTCCATCATATCAAAGGGAACAACTCTTTGAAAAACAGAGTCTGTTCAGGGTTCACGTGTTGCAGCTTCATGCTAATTCACTTCAGGCTTTTCGAAGATAAATAAAAAATTGGTACCATGTTTAGGTAGAAAAAGCTTATTTAAAAAATGCCTGGTGAATTAAGATTGCATTGCTGGAGCACTGTTTTGAAAAATTTAGAAGAATAGAAAAAAAAAAACATCCAGCAATAAAGTAGTCTGCATTCTGTTTAATACTTCATTAGATTGTTTTAACTTCGTCTATAATAAAGCATTCCCGAGCAGCTCCTCCACATTGCAGTAACAAAAGCAAGAAAACAAATCGTCACCCTCCCACCGTTTAACGGAGCTCATAAAAGTATCTGCTGAGATGGACGGCAAGCAGAGAGGCATAACGGCAAAAGTATTTGATGTAAAATTGATCGACTGACCGGACCCCAATCCTCTAAACATTGTACTTCTTCATATCATCACTAGCTTGGAGCCATAAAAGACAGCTGTTTGTGAGCGTGTCCCTACCAGTGCTACCTGATGTCACAAGACGAAGGTGTTTTTATTCAGTTATAAATGATTTACATGTTACCGTTCATGCTTATGACTTCCTTATTTCTGGCATTCAGCTCAGGCGGTGGGGCAAAAATGGATAACAGTGGCTACCCCCCCACCCCCTTTTAAATGCATTTAATTCAAAGGCACATTTAACTTGAATGCAGAATGGGTGCTTTGAAGAGATCTGTGGCTAACATTTGCTAAGAAAAAGTGACCTCAAAATTTCAAGGAAATTTTCAAGGAAGTGAATTCATTCTCAGATGTGGCTGTAATACCCTCTCTTTCCTACGGGGCACATGCCAATACTTAGCTTAATAAAACCTCACGACTTTTGCACGCTATTAACAGCAATCAGGCAAGTTCTATATAGCAAACCGAAAACAGACGTCTGAGACATTGTCCTGTCCAGTCAGCCCCAATTGCAGTCACCTTCTGGTTGGGTTAAATAGGATGACATCTAACATCCATAAAAGCAGAAACAAAGGGCCCCTTTTTCATAACAGATTTATGTTATGACATCATTGAAATTCCTGAGCATTTAAATTTCACAAAAAAAAAAAGGAAACTGAAAATTAACCTTTGCCTGAGATGCTGTAAAACGTCCTGTTCTAACGAGGCTAACTGAACATCCATTTCTACTGGTTGACACTCAACTGTTGCAATTTATAAAGGGACGGGGAATGAGGGAGCGCTCTTCTTGCTGTAATTAATTAGCTCTCTAGAGACAGTGATGAGCCTGGCATTAATCACTAGAGATGGAAATCATGACTCTTTTGAGCGAATCGATTCTGAGTTAATTGAAAAGATTTGTTCAGTTAGAACGTGTGTAAAGTTTTACATATGTTGCTTGAACTGAGAATCATATGTGAATATGTATGTTAAAACACAACAGATTTCCTATGCATATCACTATGTATCACACTGCATGTAGATTCTTATGTGTGCAAAGCATTACACCAGCGGGTGGCGAAAGAGAGGGTATCTCAGTCGTGAGTGGCAAGATCTAGTTTACTCACGAATGAAATGAATAAAATAAGTACAGTGGCCGACATTATTTCTTACAAAACGAATGAATTGTTCATGAAGGACCAGCATCTATTAATCTCAGGCTCCGTCCTTGGTCTCTCCCTGGCAGATGTAGCTGGTTTGGCAAGGCGGGACAGACACAGGTAAAACGACTCTAGTGTTACTGCAATCATGCTGAACTAAAAGGATGCATACTATTTAAAAAAAAAACAAAAAAAAAAACGTAGCCTTTATGTTTTGGAATATGATGTTCAGAGACAGCACTTTGTCTTCTGCTCAAGGATTCTTCAACAGATACAAAAAGTTCCTCTAGGTATATAAACAACTACAATACTATGCAACATTCCAAAGAGGAAATACAAACAAGGTGGAAGCATTTTATACATTGTGTTAATAAAAATAAAAATGCAAATCTAAAAAGGTCCCTATAGAACAAAAGCCGATCAAAGGCACATAGCAGAGACAAGGCTTGTAAACGTGCTGCTTCACCGACGCTCATGGGTCCTTACAAAACAAACAAATTATTTATTACTTCCCTATTATTTTTGACTGTCGTGTTTTGCTGTACTCATTTAGCTAGTTAGTGGTGCAGACAATCTATGCATCCTGCTTAAGGGAGCCATCGCAATATTTAATAAAGGTTCAGGAGGCCCTGGTTGACAAGTCACATTCAGAAAATGAATTTTCAGGTTCATTTATATTCTTAAAATTGCTTGTGCGATGCAGGGATGCAGTGAGCCGGAAGCTTATCCAAGGATACACAGAGCACTGGGGGGGGGGAGGGAGGAACGGACGGACGGACGCACAGACGCTTGGTATCAACATCTTAGAATTTAGAATTTTTTAGAATTTAGTGACCAGTGGTCATTGGTGAAGCAGTACTTGGGGGCGGTACCTTGCTCAGGGTACCTCAGTGGTGTCTTGCTGGTTGGGGATTCGAACCTGCAATCTTTCAATTACAAGTGTGCTTCCTTAATCATTAAGCCACATCGTTATGGGGACTAGCCATTAATTTCTATAGGCATAACCCGAATCCCAACTAGCGAATCCCTAATGTTAATCATAAGTAACCAAACAAAATACAAGACTTATGGCATTTTTAGTTTTTTGATTGTGAGTTTCCCATTTTGGTGAAACAGGGTCTCCACAAGGTCAAAATATCAGGTTGTTAATCATGATTTGGGGACATTTGTTCTTTGCAATGTAATATTTACATGCCACGCACACGGGCACGCGTGCGCACACACACGCACAGAAACACACGCACACAAGTGTAATTTCAGAGACACTGGTGCACGTCTCAGGAGGTTATGGGAGCACTATCTCACCCCACCGGGGCAAGAATCAAACTCACTACCCTGACAAGCCGTGAGGCCAGAATGCCCCCCGCAGAGTTGCAGTACCGCACCACCCTGGACAGCCCCGACTGGAATACCTGCTTAGGCCCAGCCGGCTGAAGAACATCATTAGTTCAATTTATTTATTGATTTTTGGCCCAACAGACTGTCAGATTTCAAAAGACGCAGAGCACCGCTCTCAGTGTAGCACTCTTCCACTTTTATCCTGAATTATTCAGAAATCTCACTGCGTTTTGTCTTTTTCCATTTTCCCCATCTTTTTGTTTTTGTGATATACCTACAGTTATATCTCCTTTTAAACTGTTTTTCGTATAAAAACATAATTTATATATATTATATATTATATAATTATATATGAGCTGCAATGATTTCATTGCTTTGGTCAAGGCATCGATAAAGGGGTGACCAATAAGTGCTAAAATTCAATGCTGTGCTAACGTACATGTACATGCATTACGGTGCAAAACTGCACACTGGGAAGCACAGAGATCGCGGATTAGCTTCTTAGCAATAAAGAATTCTAAATCGATTTTAGCTAAGAAAGCAGAAAAACTTAGAGGGACAGACACAGAAAGCGACCCCAGGGCAAACACCTACCAGACACATTGATTGAGGTTCCGGCATCGATCACGCCGCTGTTCGGCCGGACGCAGTACCGACGCGGGGCCGTCGTCTTCACTTTAAAACATACGTTCCTGTCTGTCGGATTGGCCAACTTCAAGGTGGTAGTAACGACATCTGTAAACGGACCTGCGGAGACAGGAATCAAAAAGGGTGGCATTGGATTAAGGCACTAGGTTCAATAAACACGAAGCAGAAAACCTCAGGGACACCTGGGGGGGCTCCCAGCACCTTGCCACCTGTCACTGTACAGGAGGAGGGAGACGGCAGAGAGTTCCGGAAGAAGATGCTTCCCCCAGCCCCCTTCTAAGATCTGCCAAGAGCAATTACAGAAACATAGAAATGCAGGAAGATAAACATGATTATCTCTGGATAATGTTTGTGAAGTGGTGGTGCTCTGAGACCGCTGCAGGATCCTGAACATCCTGGAAATTAATAAGGGAACACACATGCTTCTTAACACCCCCCCCCCCCTTGATGTTTACATTGGCCTAGCTCACATTCTACATCCATAACCCGTAATACCAAAAGTGAAGGGTTAAATGAAAATGGCGGCTTTTTGTATACATATCCCACCAGGACCATGTGTGCGCATTAGTCCCCTTAGCTCTGTTTACTATTCTGCGTTCAGCCTTCCCGTCAGTGTTGAGATATTCTGAGAAAGGTTCAGTCACTTGACAACGCACTAGGTTGCTAAGTTCAGGCAATAAGGATCTATAGTGAGGAGGGAAATTAAGCGAAAGCAATTGAAACCTGTCATATATCACACATATCTCACATCATCTGCTTTCAATCCCGGTCTCTGATGCTAGTGTGTAATTTTCATACTTTCCCTGCTATTTTCCCTGCTGCTCTGGATGTGGCTGACACCCTCTCAAGACCTCCGCGTTTAGCTGGGAGGAGGTGCGGGCCTGTGGGAGGCGCAGCAATGGCTCGGAGCTGACTTTGGGAGCAGCTCTGTGGATGTGGGAGGATTACTGGAGCGGGGGAGGGCACAGAAAAAGCCTCTGCCACATTTACGTTTTTATCCAAAACGAGGTACAACTGAGGGAATTGAGACGTCGGGGTCTTCCAGGCCCAGATTAAGGGTCTTGTTCTAGGGCCTAACAGGGAAAGGACTGTGCTGACCACAGGGATTTCAACCAGAGACCTTCGTTCACCCTGGGATCAATAAAGCTCATCCTATCTTATCACAAATACAGCATGCTAACCCAATGAGCCACATAGATTGCTTGCTTAGCTCTATTTCTGGCTAGGCCACGTCCTCTAGCTATGGGGCCAAAACTCGATATTACTCTGGATTCGTCTGGTTAAAGCCTGCTGCCCAGCACCACTGCCCGGCGCTCGTTGTAGACCGTGGCTCCTAAGCAGCACGGACTGCTGGCTGGCATCGCTTCAGGAAAGCTGAGGATTGATCTGTCAGACTGAGCAGACACATTCCAAGCAGCACACCGGCCTGTTCTGTCCCTTCTAAGGCCTGTAATACTATAGCAGACAAATGGCGGACACCGGCAGATACGTTAAACAAGAAAGAGCAGGTCTCCTTAGTCACTTAAACAATGCGAGACAAATGAAGCCGCTTTAAATCAAAGGCCTTCCTCTGCCCTAATAAATGGAGCGACTGATATAATTAGGGCACGACTAATGGGCAGGCATGTTTCCTGCGGGCTACATTTTCCTTGTTCTCCTCTGTCCATCAGCTCCATTAGGTCCTTGATAGAAACGTCGGGAATCGATACCGCAGGCCTGGCATAAAGCAATGAGGAGGCACATTTATTTAATTCCTTCCCGAAAGGGGTCGGCTGCTCAGGATTATAACGCAAAACCCTGAAGTCCCCAGAACTAGATCTGTTTTCTCTGCATGAAAATGATACTTGACACACAAAAAAAAAAAAAGACTCAGAAAGAAGGAAAGGACATAACTACAACTCCGCCACATTACTGCAGTGAAGCGACCATTTTGAAATCTCTCCAACTCCTGCAGAGAATCATCCAACTCAAAGGGATGGACTAAAGCACCCCCCCTCCCCCCCACTTCCTCTTTAGGGCAGCGTTTCCCAATCCGGTCCTCGCCGACCCACAGTCGGTCCGTGTTTTTGCTCCACCTGAGCTCCCTGCCAGGCAGTCCACATTTTTGCTCTCTCCCAGTTCCCGGTAGCAAAAACACAGACTGTCTATAGGTCCCCGAGGACTGGATTGGGAAGCACTGCTTCAGGGTGTTTGAAACAACACGGTGGATGTCATGGTGAAGCGGGGCAGTTGGGGCCACGGCGTGTACGGGTCACAGATGGCCCCAGAGGGTCATGAAACAGGTGTTTTGTTATTGGGTGACCAGCTATAAATAGCAATGAGGTAACCTATTTATAAAAGCCAAGGTCAAACGAAAACTAAATAACACCCACTCACACATATATACATTATATATATGATTATAATCAATTTGAGGAAGAGAATACAAACAAAAAAATTGCAAAATACTGTTTGGTATCAAGTTTTATGTTTATTAAGATGCATTATGTATAGCAATGATATTGTAATATGCTCTATTGAAACTACACATGCTGGCTTTCCAGAGAAAATGACTTCAGGATACCAGAAACAGTAACATGCAGATCTCTCCTTGAATGAATCCTGTCTAGTGCCCACAGTCCCACCTCCCCAGTAGCTACCATCTTGCTGCTGGAGGGCAGGGCCTCCTGGAGGGTAGGAGCCGGATTGCCTGAACCCCAGGTGTGATCCCACCAGCGAATGCCCAGAGGCTGATTCCGGCCAGCCGGAGCTTTAAGCTACTTGGCCGGCACATACCGGATCGTGGGAAAAAACCACCGCCGCGAAGCATGTGCACTTGGTACAAGATCAACAACCTTAATAGAACTGCAGCGTAAAAGGCCTCAACTGACTGGCGGTTGCTTGCAATCTGTATACGTGACTTTTTCATGTCACCAGCTAATTGCTAATGGCGCTGTTGCAAAGCTACTGTATTTCCAGATACTATATCATAGCTATAAACTCCAATGAGATTAAATGAAGCAACAGGATTTATTTCCTCAAAAAAAAAAAACCCATCGCAAAGTAAATCTCAGAAAACTTGAAAACAGAGATACTGCAAAAAAATTACACTCTTCAACACTCAGTACTACACATCCTACCATGTCACATAATGTCGCTTTCAGAGCAGAAGTGTGAAGTTTCCTTAGGAGCTACATGACAACCTCCAGCAAGCAGTATCCTACAGAAAGGAGAACAGATAAACCTCACTGATCCCACATGAGAATCTCTAGAGAATAAAACCCATTCAATGATCCCAGAATATGAGAACAGAGAGGCCAACGTCCATCCTGGGAGGGAGGGAGGGAGGGGGGGTACGGCCCATTAAATATTCATTGAAGGGATTCAGTCTGATCCATCCATCCATCCCCCATAGCCTCTTATCCAATACAGGACCGTGGTGACACTGTTTCCTATCCCAGAAAGCATAAGGCGCCAGGCAGGGGACACCCGGGAGAGAATGCCAGCCAATCAAACACTCACAGTCACAGTCACACACTAAAGGCAATCTGAAGATGCATAATCACGTGCTTCTGGACTGCGGGAGGATGCTGTGATGCAGATTCACACTGCAAACGTTGAAAGCAAAAGCCGCCTCTCCTGCCAAGATTGTAGGACAGAGAGCGTGAGACGAAATTCAGACTGTTACACTATACTGTGGGAGGTCCTACACGATAGGCACGCAAAGGGGTCCATCACGCTGTGCCGTACTCCTACAAACGCACTGGGCGGAGACTGTTTTCCAGTCCCACAGCGGCCTTTCTGAGCGCGCTCAGTATTCTGACAGCTGGATGTGAAGGCGGACATTTTAATCGACTCTCCAAACCAAAAAGCTTTAAGTTTTAAATAAAATGGGAATTCAGAGCAATTCAAATGACATTTTGTATGTTGCTAGAGGCAAATTTTAGAGAGTACAGAAAAACACTGCACATACAGTATAACACCTGTCTTTTACACTTAGGACGCAGAGCATAAAATGATTTTTGAAAACGTTGTTGTACAGTTTAAATTCTCTAGGTACCGAAATCCAGCTTAATGCACCGATGTACCTGGGCTTTGTGTTTAACAAGCAAAGCGTCGTTCTCAAAAAGAAAGATATTACCCATAAACACACTGAAGGAGGCTGGTGACTTATTATTGAGGCTATAGCTGCAAACCACACCAGTGCTGGAGCTACTGGTGTAGGTCAGTGTCTCGGCCAGTCCTTGGGGACCCCCAGAAAGTACACATTTTTGCTCCCAACCAGCTCCAAATAATCATGAATGAACCAAACAATCAAGAACACCAAATACTTGTTACAGGTGTGTTGGGAGCTGGAAAGGAGCAAAAATGTGGTCTGTCTGGGGGCTCTTGAGGACTGGTTTGAAAAACTTTGGTGTAGGTAGTTTGAAAATTAGAAATTTTACATATGATTAAACATTCATTTATGTCATAAACTAGACAGCAAGACACAACAAAAGATGGCTGTATTTTGGTATGAAACATACATTTTCGCTCCCCTCTCTTGGTAAGGAGCAAAAATGTGAACTGTCGGGAAACACTGCTCTAGAAGGACACTGACAGTAAACTAGTCCGATAACAGAACAAGAAGTATTCATACTTCCACTACTCCATTTTTTCTCACTATCAATTCTTTGCACCTCGGGTAATTGTTCAGAAGTTCCCCTGGCTTCAATTATCTGATGCAAAATTAAATAGGACATCATGCTCTACCAAAAAGTGACAATCACTGGTCTGAAAGACTAGGATCTCTCTCTCAGATAAAGTTCTGTCATAACACAGGGTCTTATCATCACGAACGGCTGTTCAGAAGACACAAATCAGATAGCCGCCATCAGATACATACTGAAATCAGGGCTACACCGCTGGTTGCTTCAGGGTTGACTTTAGTGCTGCTTGTTAACAGAAAACCCTTGCTTCTGGGGTGGGGGGGGG